TATACATATATATCATTATCAATACATGATCATGTGGTCGCCACGGCATCAAGTGTCAACTATGGATGGTACTCTCACGATAGTTCAGTACTAGTGGCAGCAAGAGTTAGAATATAGCGCACTGGCCTTAATAGGTAGTCGCTTCGTTGTTGTGACTTTCTTCATCGAAAACACGATTACAGAAACCTTCTGCGTACCGAATACAATTTTCTTCCGTTTCTGAACTACTTCAGTCTACCAAATCTGTTCAATCATTGGCCGTGGGCTGAATATGATTGGCCTTTGTCAATATTGTAGAGTTGTTTGTTAAGGAATTTTGTTGGGAGGATGGGATTTTGATTATTCGAATTTTGTTGGGAGGATGGGATTTTGATTATTCCTATGCCCATTGGTGGCACACAGAATTAAAGAAAAACAGAATTCATAAATTATCGAGCGAAGAGTTTGTCCCATATTCCGTAACTCCAATACGATGAACAAATACTATATGAGATAGCAATTTCTGAACATACCTAGTTGAAAGAAAAGTGACTGCTTACATAGACTTGTCGTTCATTCAGGGTAAAAAAAAAAAAGATGTAGCAAAATATTACAAGAAGAGACGCAATCAACCTGGTACCATTTTTTTATCGAAGCACTTCTCTATCATATAGTTGTGGATGCGAGTAAGTAGGACCCTATTCAGTATGCCGAACCAAATTTCATACGATGATGTATGCGTGAACAATGCACTAAGTGAGGGCTAAACAATACTTCCAAGAACATATAAAAGATTGAACATCGACATGATAATTTGAGAATAGTGTGTAGAATTTCACAAAGGTACATAGACAAAGAAAAACTCAGCAAATCACACCGACATGACTCAGCATTTGTTTAATTTGTTTCGTACACCTGCTGAATATATAGCAAGTAAGATATTTGAAATCCTCGTCGGAACCATCGATATTGAAATCTATCTTATTCTTATACAACGCAATACACCAATAGTTGGAGACTGATCATCGTATAGACTGACACACCACAAGCTATTGTATGTTTTCATGCCTTACAAATAAAGTAAGCGTAATGGTAACAAGTACAGCGAGTTTGATAGGAAGGAATAGAACGATATTTACTTAAGCCATGTTTTTATCAAAGCCTCTGCACTATATGAATCGAATAAAGCCCCGATGGCCAGACTATCTCAGATACTAGTCACGATTTTGCATACGCAATGTTTGCTCTTGCGAGGCTTGAACATGCAGCGCATCTGGCGGCGATGAGGATACTCGAGATCTTATGTCACGGGCCATCTGTGACTTGGTTCGAGCAGTAAGCTAATTGTAAGAATCAGCTTGGAGGAATACGACAGGCTCTAATCGCTGCCTTCATTTCCCCAGCTGGTTGCGCGTGCTTCTCGACATGCAGGTTGTTGCTAAACCCGTCATGGCGTCTACCGTATAATGGCCTGTGTTGAGTGCCATCTAGACAGTTTCATTGTGGTGCAAGTCAAATCGTCTACTAGAACGACGAAGATTATATTTTCAAGTGCTAAACTGACCTGGCTTTCATCCTTTGCGCCTCAAAGAATTGCGCTTCTGCAGGTGTTGTCGAATAAACAGATAGTTTAGATCGAGAGTATTCGCATCGAGCCTTACGCCATACTCAATCACTTTGGTACATATGGGACATACACAACTACTGTCTTCTCAAAGAAAAAACTTGCATATTCGACTAGACAATAAATTATCAAGCGCTATGGTTCATAATCACATCGGAGGAAAACGGGTCCTCAGGAAAAGACGGCTGTCTTCCGATCAACATACCTAAATCAGCGATGACCATGTCAGCAACACTTTGAGGCTCCTCAGTATCACCTCTCCTTTGTGCCAGTACTTCGAAGTCGTTCTTGATAGTGTCCATTGTCTCCTTAATGATAGACTGTCAAGAAAGTATTCGGATCAGGGTATTGTTACCCAATACTGGCAAAATTAGCGTGAATCTGCATCATTTTAAAGAATTCTAGAGCGATACCACCCTCAGAGTGGGCAGCACAGAAAGTAAGCCAAAGTAGAGCCTTGAACCATCACTGTTTAACATCTCTATAGAAAATGCGTATACCTCTTTGCTCATAACGCCATCCCTTTCGTCCTGAACGTGCGAGCGAGCCCGTTCGTCTTCGTAGTCCTGAAAGCTGTGCTTGCCTTGGAACAACGCAGACCCTCCTGAGTAAACGTAGGGATATGGTAAAAGTGGTTACAATTCAACCGTCAGCAACTACCTAGCCAGCAAAAAAAGAAAAAAAACCAATAAAGAAAAAGAAAAAAAAGAAGAAAAACTAACAATACTGAATGTGTTTCAAACGAGCCATCTGCACAGAAAGGAGCATTACCTGGGGCAGAAAGATCTAAAGTCGGTATAAATTCCTCGAAGTCTGCGGGCATCTCTTGGTTGTATACGTTAGTGTGCAAGTCCTCACTCCGACAAGGATGATGTAGAGTTTTTCGTTGCATTACTTCATCCTGCAATGAATTGTGATTGGATCGGTACCATTGATTGGAGTCAACAACACATGCGGAAGGAATATGGTTGAACTGATTCTGAACTCGGGGGCACAGTCTAATGACCTCACGACAGATTGATAATTGCCGGTGCCATACCAAATCTCCTGAGTAACATTGTTTCTTTACTCCAGATATCACAATGGAGTACGGTAAGCCGGAGGCGGAGAGTACCCAATGGTCACGGTGTAGTGATCTGGAGTTTGGCAAAAATAGATATACATGATCAATCACGAATGGCTGAATCTCTCCTTGAGTAAAGATTCATCGGCTTTTATAGCCAAATGTCGAATCATGTCATTACATACTGTATTTGGCTTTTAGTAGTATTTCCCGTGACGATAGCAAAAACGGGAAGTACGATGATACCAGCTTCGACTTTCTGATGGTTGAAGAAAAGGTACGTTTGTGGTTAAAATCGAGGTTGCTATTTCTAACTTTCAATGACTTTCAACATCCTAGTAAGAATTGCAGTGGTGCGAACATACATTTTTGTCCGTATATGTTTGCATCAGCTGATGGACATTGAGTGCGGAGGATCGGAATGTATCCTCGGCCGTGTCTTGCCAAAGATGTAACAACGTTCGCAGGAGCTGTGCGGCCGTTTCGACGATTGCATTCTTAGGGGCTCGCTTCTAATTCAGTTTCATAACGGGAGGAGAGGAGTGAGGTGGTTGAGCGAAGAGAGTGATTGAGGTGTTCGTCTCCAAATTGAAAGAAAAGAAATCAACGACTTGACAGACTCTAAACGGATGACTTGTGGTACTGATGAAGAAGTTCGCTACGAACTTGCCCTCTGTTGGTTTCATAGTCTGTTTCTCGCTCTGATCAACGATATATATAACACATTACAGAAGAATTGAGAGCAATTTATCTAATCTGTATACTGTAAGACAACTAATCCACCCAATCACGGAGCTTCATCTGTATGAATTGGGAAGGACGGCATACTGAGCCTAGATATAGAGAAATACAATCACCTGGATCTTTTGCAGAAGAGCCCTATAGCACTTTTTACTCCAGTCGTGGGCTTGTCGCTGATGTTGACCATACTGTGCCGCGGATGCATGTATTTCTTCAACCGTTTCTCCAACAACAGCTGTAGGATAGCATCACAGGCAAGACTGAGTACGCATAATAAAAACAGGGATTCTAAAAATAATGTTAGGTGACTTGTAAATGGCAACAACATCATGTACAAGTACAGAAAGACGCCCTTACCATACTCAAGCTTGAAGCAAAAAGCAAAGCCACCAGCCCAACTTACATCTTCGCTGGAGCTTCTCAGACAAGATCTCAGCCGATGCACAGGTGTCAATCGGAGACTTTTTCTTCGAATTTCGGTCCAAACCATTGAAACCTATGGCTAACACATCATCATCGACACACGGCGACTGTAAATAGAGCGCACCATACGATCTGTAAGTGTCCGGCAGTCAGCGTGGCGAATCCATTAAACTTTATATCGCGATTATTATTAGAATGGTGCAAGATATAATCCTAAACCATATGAGCCACCTACCCTATCCTCGGACTGCACTTCACCTTGCTGTCGTTTCCAAAGAGCCTGTGTGGTAGATGAAGGGGAGCGATCAACATATTAGATCACAACACCAAAAAAAATGAGGCCAGATAGAGGAAATCGATCGCAGACGTTATTCTATGGCGGTCAAGCACACACACATATGACCGGAAATGCGATTGGACTACACAGTGCCACCCGTAGGGGGGGAGGGGGCGTGGGGAATTGTACCGCTTGCTACCCAACCATTGACCCCATACCATTTCAAGGATCATCTTGCTGTTTGGAAACTCCTGTGTCTGAAGTATGGACCAACTGTTTGACGCAGAGAAAGAAGAACAACGGGTCACTGGACAGCAAGAAATAAAACATGAAGGGCACCAAGACTATAGTCGTGCACGCAGGGGTTGTCAGACACGCAGCCAAATCCAAGAGTATACTATATACTATAAGGAAAGAGAGCTTTCATGCAAATCGAACTAGCTGTCAATGCTGAAAGCCTCCGACTGGTCAAAGAATGCACACTACACAACTTACCCATTCAGCAGGCTGACAGTGGATTCTGATACACACTTTAGATGCTCCGTTGCAGGTGATGGTAGGATAGCAAACAGTGCCTCTATCGGCATCCAGGAATCAACGATATCTTCGACCTGCGCGTCACCTAATAAATAAACAGCGTCCAATAGCCAGTCAATGTTTGTGAACTACGAGAAAAGTATCTGGATCGAGGATGCGAGCTGTTGAAGTAGTCGATTGTTAGTTGCAGACAAATGGGAATACTTACAGTCCGCACAAATCTGGTCGTGAGCCGGGTAGAGATCAACTAGTCTCATAACAAGTGATTCAATCCGATCCAAGAAGAAGGCATTCTTAGAGACTTGATAGCTGGACACCAACGGAGCAAGAATCTGTATGATAAAAACGATGTGCATTGATAGATATTTATAGCAAGTTGGCTGATAGAAAAATGAATAATGAGAATGCCTAGGCACCAACAAACGGGAACAAGACTCGAAATCAGACAATTGGAGAGGCGTTGAACGGTTGCATGAATTCTAATAACGAACATATACGGACTACAACATACCTTAATTGCGGTGGGAAAGTCCTGTGGCTCGTAGCACCAATCGGGTGTACTATCAGAATGGCGAACAAGTAAGAGGCCAATATAGAAAATGGTCAGACGAAAGGAAAGGCGGTATAAGTGGCTGTACTAACTTGCAACCCTGACAATACACATATCTCGAAGAAGATAAAGTGCTGACACCGAAGTATAACCCTAATAGAAACGAGGATGCAGTCGATGACGGATATCATGCAGATGACGTTATACCTTCGTGAGCAGCTCATGCAGAACTTGTGGATTATCTGCCAGAAATGTGGAAAACAGCCAACGACACAGACAACACCGAAAACAAGTGCAGGCATCAGGCTTATTCCTCAAACCGTGATACATACTTGTGAACTAGTTCAACTCCGCGAAGGAATTGTCGATCGAGTCCAAGAATATGCAGAATCGGGATTGATTCCAAGGTTTGGATAGAGGGGCAGCGATCTGAGGGCATTGGTGGAATGACAGAATCAGTCTCTTTCAACTTGTATATAAATTGATAGAAAAACAAATCAGCTAATATACTATCATGCGCCGTCTGGTAGATATCATAAGTATCGTACTGTGCTGGTCACAGACAAACATATGTATAACGAAGTGCGGATTCCTGTCCATGATATGAATTCACCAAGTTGACCTACGAATATTTTTTCATTCAGTAAACATGCCCAAACAGCACGTAACCGACACACACACACACATATATACTTATGATAACAGAGAACGTGCTGTCAATATATATATTGTTCAATCCTTTAAGGGTTTAACCCTAAAACCCTAGCTCAATCGCAAACGATCTATCGATCATATATTCCGATCTCGATATACTAAACAGACTGCGGATAAAATCTAATCTCTACAATTCAATAAGTACATCTGTATAGCTCACGATCTCTCGATCATCTATTTATTTTTGACCACTGTATTGATTGTGGATATATTCTAATATCTACAATACAATCAGTTAGATAACTATTTAGACCACTGAATTGCTTGCGGATGAATAATAATCTACACACTCACAAATAGGCTGCATTAGCTTCCTCCCTAGCTATATGTGTGTATTTATATGCGCCACAATGAAGTTCGCATGTCTTTCTAGATAAAACGAGACCCGTGAGTGTGCATACAACGATAATGATCTAAAACCACAATATAGCGAAAACGGTTCATAAATCACACATTGCAATGAAATATACAAAATTAGAAGCATATTGTGTGACAGGGCCAATCGAAGTACGTTATCGTAATCGCTGGAGGGTCATATACCTTCATAAACACCGATTACTGAATATATCGAAATGTGTTATGCGAGTCTCATCCTAGTTATACACGATGAACCTATACTACGCGGGTTTGTTTTTGGGAACATTCGGTGTTCGCGAAAGTAACCATTCGTTTAAAAAATACGATCGACACAAATGAACACACAGAAGCATTTATACGTACACATACCCAAACTTTACTATAAGCAATTTGTATATAGACTTAGGAATATAAATAATAGGATTCATTATTAGTAAACATGTAAGTATTATTCTGTATATATGTACACGTAAAACACACTCAGACACACACACAAGCGCGCACATAATATATGTATATATATACATAAACATAAAACATAATATAGATGTAATAGTATTAATATATATATATATATACATATATCTATTGTATATATATGTATAAATTAATATACTTATACACGTTCACGTATCAATATATGTATTTCTATATATATATATATATATTTATGTGTGTATATGTTAATACTGCATATTTTTCTACACACACACAAGCATATATATATATATATATATACGATTCATAGTACACATGAAATGCGCACACACGGACAAACAGACACACATGCAAATACAAATATATATAATATATATATATATATATAAATACAATATATATTGTAGAACAAATTTGGCAGAGAAATATTTCCGTCTTGGTCCAACGTGAAACACTATTTATCTAATTTTTCGATATCAGCATCCACTTTTTTCGAATATGCTCGTATACAATCATATTTTTGAATCTATGTCATACATACCGATTACTGAATATATCGAAATGTGTTATGCGAGTTTCATCCTATTTATACACGATGAACATATACTACGCAAATGTATTTTTGCGCACATTGAGTGTTCGCGAGAGTATCACTACGTTAACACCATGCATTAAAAAGCACGACTCTAGCCACGTATGAACACATACAGAGGCATTTATACGTGCCCAAACTGTACTATAAGAAATATAAATATCGACTTGGAGGTATATATACAAAATAAGATTCCAAATAAGTAAGCATGTAAGAAGTATTTTTAAATAGGTACACATGAAATGCACTCAGACAAACCCGGACACACGCACATAACATATATATATATATAAAGCACACGCACACACACACACACATATATATATTCCTGTAACAAACATACATACATACATACATACATATCTATATATATATATACATGTATATATATATATATATTTATATAAAGCGCGCGCGCACACACACACACACACACATATATATATATTTTCTTATAACATGCGTACATACATACTTATATATATATATTTATATAATAATATATTACTATTCATATTAATATGCATATACAAGAGCACGCACAAATATATGTATTTCTATAGATTTGTATATGTATATGTATATGTATACGTACACGTACACGTATATGTATATATATATTAATGCATATTTTTATTCGCACACACACACACACACATATATAGATATATAGCTAAAATTATATTCCTACATACATACATTTATGTATGTATAGTGATATAAGCTAATACGACACGAATAACATGTACCTATATTTGTAAATTTATATATACATATATAAATATATATATATATATAACTCTATATGCACAAACATATACATATAAATATACATACACATACAAATATATATATATATATATATATATATATATATATACATATATATATACATATATATATATATATGTATATATACATATATTTTTCAAGCTTTGCCACACATACTGCAAATCCAATACAATTGTCTTGTGAGTCGTAAACGAACTTATTTAAGAAAGAGAATAAATGCTATATTTTATCTCTTAAGAGTTGATACATACCTGTGGTAGCTATTGAAATTGATTGCTCCCATGTTTTGATCACCGAATCTGTAATACTCGGAAGTACTCCTGCTGTTTTTTTATCTTTTCTCTCTGCATGCGGAACGAATTCACGGCGATATATACTCATTAGATTACAACCTTCATTCAATCATCAACTTTGCCTATATTTCTTTTCTGCTGAAGTATTTAATTGTTTATAGCTTCGGTCGAGCGTTCAATCTTCGATGTAGGATATCACTGTAATGTAACGATGAACTATGCGCCACAACGACATATCGTTGATTCTTTCTCGATATATTTTCAAGTCTGAAAAGCCCAATAACGATTTCCCAGAGCTATATCATATACCTTGTTTACGTGCTCTTTCCAGTATTTTATCGGCTATAAAGTTTCTTTTTGTTTCGATATTTTCTAAGCTATCATCCTTCCCATAATCTGCTGTTCCGTTCAATCCCCCAACAACTATACCCGATGCGACGTCGAAGAATACAGTAAGGAAAACAGCTAAGACAACTAATACCTTCATTTCTGCTATGTAGTAGACAACGTAGACTTTAATACGCCTTTGACACGTGTGTATGCAGGGCGCAATATTAATACATTACCATTACCGTTTACTACACACAAGAAGCGCCTCAGGTGGAGGTGTGTGGGGGGTAAAATAAATACATTTAGATGCTTTTTTTATAACTTCCAGTTCGGTCGCCATGACGACCTACAGTCGAAACCAGTGCTCATTTCTCAAATAACCGGACACTGTGAGTCTGAGTCTGAGTCACTGAGTCACTGAGTCAACGATACTTAAAAATAACTTAAGCCACTGCACTCAAGCAGTTTGAACCACCATTTTTGCTTATTTTATTTATTTTGAAAAAACAATAGAACAATCTGACATATGTACAGCTGACATAGGGCTATATAAAATATGAAACTTTTGGTGACCCAATCACCTATAGGCCAAAATTGTCTCGAATGGTCCATATGATTTTTTTAGGAGACGGTGGCGGACGATTGGTCAGTAAAGTATTTTAATGATACTATATATATCTGTAGTTTTCCAATAGGTTTTCAGTAGATCAAAAAAAGTGAAATAACGCGTGTGCTACACTGCTAGCCTCCAATCCCCCCCGTGATTGCGATTTTAAATAGATCTGAGTAGGACAGAGAGACTGAGACTGGCACTCTTGAAGGGAGTCAAGGCCTTGTTGGTTTGGCCTTGTCCTGCTCTTAATATGACGGAATTGACACGCCCCAATTTTTAAATGTTACATGTAAAATTATCCAATTTATTAGAGAGAAGAAAGACATCTATTTATAGATTTAGGAACATATTATGTACGATGTTGTAAACGAACGCATGTTTAATTTTTTTTTCGGATGCTGATATGGTAAATTTAGAAAAATTATCTTTCATGTTGGACCTAAACTAGAATATTTCTGCCAAATTCGTTCTATGACTATTCCATCCATGGCCAAATTTGAAGCAAAACTTATAATCTATATATAGAATGTATTTGGAGCACGTCAGCCAAACAGCCAATATTACCAAACACGCTCCCCATTCGGACATAGACAGTTAATATTATTGAATATTCAAACAGATCACATTGGGCCACTGGACGCGGTGAAAACATGCTGTGGAAATAATGCGGAATATAATACATACGACCACTCTTTAAGGTCAGTCTCTAAGTGTGATATACCCCATTACTGTAGTCGCGCCTTTCAGTGTAAAGGTCAACTAGTTGTCACTCACTAGCTACGATGAGTATGTTCACGACCGTTGCCCGGGCAAAGGCCCCGGCTACCATGTCGCTAGCAAATATGACTGTGCGATGCATGTCGACCACAATGATGTCCAAGTTGGATACCTTCCCTGAGGCTTTGCCTTTCGATAAGATGCGAGGAAAGCTCGATATTGTAAAGGGACGTCTTGGACACCCGCTTACACTTGCTGAGAAGATTGTATATTCTCACTTGGACGATCCCGTAAACTCAGATCTGGTTCGCGGCGAGAGCTACCTCAAGCTTCGTCCCGATCGAGTGTGTTTCCAGGATGCGACCGCACAGATGGCTATGTTACAGTTCATCAGCTCTGGTCTACCCAAGGCTGCTGTACCTTGCACAATTCACTGTGACCATCTTATTGAGGCCCAATTGGGTGGCGATAAGGATCTGGCTCGTGCCAAGGACATCAACAAGGAGGTCTACGATTTCCTAGCGAGTGCTGGTGCTAAATATGGGGTATGTTTTTAACACTTAATTATGCAATGGCGTATTTTCGATAGTGTACACATTTATTCAATACGAGTAGTAGTATTCTAATATTATCCGCTATCACTTAAGAGATGCAAATTGCACGATAATACGATGCAGATAGTATTCTGGTATTCTCCGCTGTAACACTTAATTATATGCAAGTCCTGTCTGTTACAATTCTTTTTGTTAGACGGTTGAACATTTAAATTCTATATGTTTGCTTTTTATCGAACCACTATACTAGCCCGACACGATGTCGCGCTAAAGTTCACGCCTTAGAAGCACAAACAAGATTGAGGACAACGATTTGGTTGTATCGGTCCATTAATCTGTATTTAATTAACGAATCATCTGTAGGTTGGTTTCTGGCAACCCGGATCTGGTATCATTCATCAGATCACACTAGAGAACTACGTTTTCCCCGGACTTCTAATGATTGGAACCGACTCGCACACGCCCAACGGTGGTGGTCTCGGTGGTGTCTGTATTGGTGTTGGTGGTGCCGATGCTGTTGACGTTATGGCCGACATCCCCTGGGAGTTGAAGGCACCAAAGGTGATCGGTGTTAAGTTGACTGGTCAGCTCAGTGGATGGACCGCGCCCAAGGATGTTATCCTTAAGGTTGCAGGTATCCTTACGGTCAAGGGAGGTACTGGTGCAATCATCGAATACCACGGTGAGGGAGTTGACACCATGTCGTGCACTGGAATGGCCACCATCTGCAATATGGGTGCCGAGATTGGTGCTACCACGTCTGTGTTCCCCTACAACCAAAAGATGGCCGACTTCCTGAAGGCTACCGGACGTCCCGAAATTGCCGAGGCTTGCGATCAGAACAAGGACTTGATTACCCCCGATGAGGGCGCCAGGTACGATCAGCTGATTGAGATTGACCTAAACTCTCTTGGTGTCGGAATTAACGGTCCCTTCACCCCCGATTGGTACCACCCAATTGAGACTTTCAAGGAGACCGTTGCTAAGGAGGGTTGGCCCGCAGAGATGAAGGTTGGACTAATCGGATCATGCACAAACTCATCTTACGAGGATATGGGCCGATCCGCATCTCTGGTCAAGCAGGCGTTGGACAAGGGTCTTAAGTTTAAGTCCAAGTTCACTGTCACTCCCGGATCCGAGCAGGTGCGTGCCACCATTGAGCGTGATGGTATCGCCCAGATCTTCCGTGAGGCTGGTGGCGTTGTGCTGGCTAACGCATGTGGTCCTTGCATAGGTCAGTGGGACCGAAAGGACGTGCCATCTGGAGAGCCCAACAGCATTGTGACCTCATACAACCGTAACTTCGCCAAACGTAACGATGGTAACCCCGCCACCAACGCCTTTGTTGCATCGCCCGAGCTCACCACCGCGATGGCCATTGCCGGATCATTGAACTTCAACCCTCTCGAAGACGAATTAACGGCTGCGGATGGCTCCAAGTTCAAGCTTAAGGGTCCCCACGGAGACGAGCTACCTGCCTCTGGCTTCGACGCTGGAGAGGATACCTACCAATGGGCACCCAAGGACAACAGTGCCGTAAAGGTGGTTGTTGACCCCGAATCGGCGCGTCTACAGCTGTTGGAGCCTTTCAACGCCTGGGACGGTAAGGATTACGAGAAGTGCCCCGTGCTTATCAAGGCTCTTGGCAAGTGCACCACCGATCACATCTCCATGGCCGGACCCTGGTTGAAGTACCGTGGACATTTGGACAACATCAGTAACAACATGTTGATCGGTGCCCTGAACGCCGAGAACGACAAGACCAACTGCGTCAAGAACCAGGTATGTATGGCTGGAGGTGCAATGCATGCGCTGCTTAGAACTAGATTGGCATCCACACCGAGGATTTTCAATGTTGTGTGCGTTCGTTCGTTCATTTTTTTGCACCGCGTATTTCTGCATCCTCTCATGTGTTTCTGTTGTTGCCTGTTTGATAATAACTCGGTTATAGTCTTGGGCGCAAACGCGATTGATACCTCGAGCGTACACCCTAGATACTCAATGACTATACACACTTTGAATTACAACAGATTACTGGATCTGAGGGAGGTGTGCCCGATGTAGCACGCGAGTACAAGGCTGACGGCATCAAGTGGGTGGTTGTCGGTGATGAAAACTACGGAGAGGGATCCAGTAGAGAGCACGCCGCTCTCGAGCCCCGTCACCTTGGTGGTGTTGCCATCATTGTCAAGTCGTTCGCTCGTATCCACGGTATGTTTCCTGTTTTATTTACACCCTGGGGTTAATCGCCTCGATTCGAAGTCTCTGGTGGGTGTTATTAAGTCGTATGGCCTTGCAATGCATACCTATTTCTTTTGCGGTGTAATGGAACGATTTATGTGCGGGTGTGCATAGTATATAATACAAACGTATCTACAGAGGGTTCGTCTGATTTAACATGCCATATACTGTGTGTTACTCCATCTAATATCACATCGCCTCTATCGATTTAACAGAGACCAACTTGAAGAAGCAGGGTATGCTTCCTCTAGTGTTCAACGACCCATCCGATTACGATAAGATCGACGGCTGTGATCAAATCACCATCAAGAGCACCGAGCTTGCGCCCGGAAGTGTGATCTCTGCCATCGTACACAAGGCTGACGGCACCTCGCACGACATCAAACTTAACCACACATTCAACGAAGGCCAAATCGCCTGGTTCAAGGCCGGTTCTGCACTCAACAGCATGAAGAATGATATGTAAATTTATGCGAACTGAGTAATGGAATTAAAGATGTTATCATCAGTATTCATTGGAACACTTCGTGGCACCTTTGCCTAGATTGGGTGTAGCACATGAATTTTCATTATAGTAATTCGCTATAGTGCAATACGTATGGAGGAATCATCCGGTGCATATCATAGTTTTGCTTGATACATCTTTTACATACAACACATGTAGGGTTCAGTATTTATGAAGGAATCATCTGGAGCATATCATAGTTTTGCTTGATACATCTTTTACATACATCACGT